GCGGTCGACCCGGTCGTCACCGCCCGCCACCGACTCTTCTCGATGAGAACGGTGACGTACACTATCACGTGGAACGTCTTGTGAGACGACGCCATCACCAGGGTCAAACCCAACATCTGGTGAAGTGGCGGGGATATCCCGACTCCGAAACGACGTGGGAGTTTGAGACGCCACTTTGGCAAGATTGCCCAGTCGCCGTGGACGCTTTTGATCGGTAAGATCAGGACGCCCGCATCATTGGACGCCCCACGCTTCCCGGCAATATCCAGGGAAGTAGACGGGTCATAAGCAGAGCTCAAGAAGGCCCTGAGCTCTTTCGGTCGCAAACACAGAGCTCTCGGGAGCGTTAGGGGTTGACCCCGACGTCGCAAGGCGACAATCCGAAGGAAGTCGACGGCATGCCTGAGTTTGGCAAACTCAAATCGGATGTGTCGTTGCACACGCACGGCCACTTCCTTGTGACTCGACTGTCGGTTATACTATGAGGAAAGCTTCCGGTGCCGTTGCACCCATCGCTCAAAGCGCGCTTCGTCATCTGTAGCGCTTTCGCCAGGAGCGAGCACTACAGGTATCGTCCGCATTGCGGGTACACGAGAGCCACCTCGCTGAGCACTTAGACGTGTAAGATAAGCTTCCAACGGAAATTATCGTGGAATCAAGAAACGAGCTCAAAGAGCCTTCCCTTTTGGCAGGTGTATCTTCCGTTCTGACCGGGGGCCCGACGATGTGGCTGCGTAACGATCGAGTTACCGCGTCCTTTGCTTCCACAGCGGAATCCGCTGGGCCGAAGCCATATTTCACACGAGGGTCAATGACCGGCCGTGGATGAGCGCGCTTCAGAGCCGCCTTAGGGGCAGCTTCAAGCTGCCGCCTCTGAGCCCCGTCGATGTCATTGGTTATTACACCACATTCCTCGGTTGACGAGAAGTCAGGGAACGGACATGAGGTCCGCAAGGCACGAGCAGGGCTCGTATCACGCCGCTGGCGCAGCTCGCCTCCTCGTCATCCCATGCGGGAAAAAGAGTGTTAGACTCGTAGTCGACCACCTCCACATCCTCAACAAGGTCATAACGTGCGCAAAGCGCGACGCTCGTGCGCATCGAGCCTAGGATGTACATCCCCCGGTGCCGCGGACGCACTGTCCGACATCGCACCACGTGCGGGAGACGAAGTTGGGCTCTGACTGTGCTCGCTGTCAGATCCAGCGAGACTTGGTGACTTCCGTGTCTTGGGCACAGGGCTCATTGAGCAAGGAAGTCGTTTTATTCCAATAAATTAAGTTGAAGTATCTTGCAGACACGCAAACCTCGTCGAGGCAATAATTGATTGGAACTGCAAATGTTCTCAATCTTAATGGGGAGGGTGTAACGAGTTTACACGTACCCTGGTAACAGGGGTGTGTGTCACACGAGATGTGCTTGGTGTGTCCACACCCAAACGATAATACAGTTCGGGGCTAGGTAGCCAGTAGTTATGCATGTATTAAGATTTTACTATATATATGTAGTATATATAGGAAAATCTAAACTTTTAAAATTTAGGCGGCTGTGCCGCAGATAAAAATAAATAGAAATCAGTTTTTGAATTTTAACCGAAGGTTTTACTAGCCTTGGTTAAGGTACTAACTACTCTTAGGTTAGCGATCGTAATCCGATCCGCCACACTCGCACTTGTTCAAAGTATAGAACGGATGGTCGGTGACCTAAATTACGCTTTCCCAAGCGCTTAGCTACGGCAGCCCCGCTGCACTCTGCGTCCGGTACAATTCAAGATTTTACGCGAGTGGCTCGTCGGACGTCTTTACGAGAATGCTTGATCCTCCATTCCTCTTGGCCTAATTAGACGAACGTACGCAAGACGCAGATGTTTTGTACGGCTGCTGATGAAAGATCTGCGAGTACGGCGTAGCTGCTCGTCACTTCAGAGATCTTTTTCCCTAATCAGCATTGCTGAGAGCTATTGCTTCTGGCGTACCGCAGATATTTCACATCCGGTACCCCAACAAAGCCTCGCGGTACAAAAATTGTGCGCCAAATTTAACGCTACATATACCGCTTCCTCGAGAGCAATGAGGTCGACGCGAAATGTCTCGGTGCGAGCCGCACCCATTTGAAATCTGCTTCTCATGGTTAATGCTACCATCTTCACAAGAAGGTCTAACGCCAATCTGGCGACAAAAATTTGCAGCGCCTGACATTTTTCTCTAGTTTCCTTCTCAATTGAGATGGACTAGAGCTGATGGACTAGAGCTCGGAAGCAGGCACCTGTACTGCATTACTTTCAAATTATTTCGTGCTGGAACTACGTCTTACGCATAGCAACCGCACGTTAGTGTCATCGTCGCGCGCGATCTTCTAGCCGGGAAACCGCATGCGTGATGTGTTGTTGTTCCGTTTAGGGTATGTTCAAATATATCGTCATACTAACTTTCAACATCTAGCGGAAGATAATTCCTCCTTTCGGTCCTCATGAGCTTAAACGCTCAATGTTAGCGGCTTTACAATGCGAGCTGAGTTGCACTCTCATCGACGATAGGCTGGGGCCTTCCTTGCGGTGTCCTACCAGCGTGCTCTCCAGCTGATGAGCTCCTCCAGACAATCCATCACAATTTCTACCCTTTGGTCGCCAAGCATGCTACTGTCTCCCGATCAAGTAAAGCAATACATTTGTATAGCTTACATAGCTGTCCCAATGATGGAGAGTTTGAACAATTCGATTTCCAACCTTAAAGAAGACAGTCTTGAAATGTCTCTGTCGCCGGAATGACTATTGGTGCTGCCTAGTGCAACGAGGTTGTTGTGCACCTTGTACATAGAGAACTCATTCACAAAGAGTTTAAGTATACAACGCACCGAGGTTGATTGCGTATGTTCGACCAGAGCGGAACCGAAAGCCTTTCAGAGATATAAGTGCTTAGTTTTCTTTCTATCTTAAGAGTTACATATGATTAGGGTTGATTATATTCAACCAAAAATTAAAACCATCGTTTAATTTTATTCATGATCAAGATTATGATTGACGTGGGGATTACAGCCCACATGTCTTACAGATCTCACCTTGAGGAAGTTCCATCGTCGTCATTATAAACAACACTTCGGTACCTCTGAAGTCTGCGCAAATGTAAAGTGCATTTGTACTATTGCACAAAAGTTCACTGCACAATTGCACAGAAGTCTAAAAAATAGTAATGTATTGTCACATCTGTAATTAGTGGCGGAGTCACACGTTAAGCAGTCCGCAATAGCTCAGGGTAATTTAAAACGCAACATTTATTAAGAGCAAAGATGCTAGCAAGGAGAGAAAAAAACTGCTGACTGCAGCGCTTTAATTGTCAACTCAGTCGTCAGTGGCAAGCTTATGGTACACGCGGGACGTGTAAAGAATTGTTAGAAGTGAGATTGCGGAGAGCGGTGCAAACGTGTAGTTGAGCACATACTGAATCCCAGGTAAACCTACTAGAGTGATTGCAATATCACCAATAGCTCGTCCGAAGGTGCCAGCTTCGGTCGCTAATAAGCCAGAGTTAAAAGTTCCCTTTGCAAAAGACTTCGGTATTGTCTTGGACAGCAACGACATGTTGACACCCTCTAGTACATTGGTAGAGATAAAAATAATCACGCCTCCAACGACAAATTGCGCGACGGAATAGTGACCATAATTGATGATAACGCCAACTCCAACAAACATGGCAGCCTCTGAGAGCATAATTATTTCTCGATCTTCATAACGGAAAGTCATCCAACCGACCACCATATTGGTCGGAAACATGAGCAACCCTAACGCAGCCAGGTACAATCCATTATTTGTCGAACCCCAATGAAAGTAATACATTGCAATTGTTGAGCTGGCCGTAATCAAGCACTCCAACACCAGCTTGAGCACGATGTAAATGAATAGAGACGCCACAACCGATACATTGTGCCAAAGTGATATAAGAGGCGGAGGGGGGGTAATTGAATGAGATCGCGCCATCAACGGCGTCGTCTCCTTCAGTTGGGCTGCTACTTCTACAATGCTCGAGCTAATTAATCCATTTTCAAGCATCGATCGTCGGCTCTCCAGAAAACGTTCCCTTTCCAATCGGTTAGGCTCTTTGAACCAGACCAATAAAGCAACAAGATACAAAGTCCAAAGCGCAAACATAACCCATCCTGGCGCTGTTTCAGTAGTAATTACAATGCCAGCAGCCTTTAGATCAGGAAGATAATGGAGAGCAGCAGCAAGTGCAGGTCCTGCAGCCATACCTAGTGCACTAGCAGTGACAAACATTGCCGATGCTTGTGTACGTTCTTCCCTAGAATAATTATCTGCAATATACCGACGATTGATCGCACGAGCACCTCCAAAGCCATTCAGCATCCGACCAGCCAATGCCATTGCGACGCTGTCATATGACAGCGCCATACCGTACAGCAAATTGCCTAACATCAGACAGACGGTGGCAAAAGATAATGAAGCTTTATACGATCGATTGGCCCACCAGCTGTACAGCACGGCACTTGCAAGAGATGCAACAGGCGTCATACCAACGATCACACCACTCATCGATGCTTCAGCGCCCAGCTCAGCGGCATACTTGCCACTTGTAGGAGCCACAATGTAGTAATTAGTCATATACAAGAACGTATTAAGCATATTGAGCAGACGAGAAGGTTTTGAAGCCTGTTTTAGACGCTTCAGCATATCGTACGTTTCATCTTCGTCTTCCGAGTATTCCGAGTCAAAAATTAAAGAACGCGCAGCGACAGCTTTTACATATTGTGTCGACTTGTGAAGTCTACGACGTGCTTGACCGATACGATTTAACACAGGCTCATCCTCAGATATTGTTTTCGTTAATATATTTTTTGTAGCTTCTGCTGCCACCTGAACCTCGAGTTTGCGCAACTTGGTCAGCGCGGCGCGAATACTCGCAATAATTGCAGAAATGCCTTCATCATGGTACAATTGCTGCAAATGCGAAGCCTGCGAATCTGTACGGGACGAAAGGTACGAGCCCATAATTTTGTGCTCTTTTAACGACTTGTCATGCTTTTTGAGAATTTTGCGAATGCCAGTAGCATTGAGCTCCACAAACTGCAGCAGATTCACCAGCTCATCTCCAACGTGTCGGTACATATCAGATATAGCGTGCACGGCCTCTAGGTCACCAGACTCGAGCTCCATCTGCTGCAGACGCAGTCCCTGTAATGTCGTGGCAAACTCACCCTGCTTCGTGAGGAAGAAAAGCACCACACGCTCAACCTCCGAGTCCAGCGCATGTTTAAAATTCTCTTGCTCTTTGCGTGTTTCATTGCGTTGAGCCTCTAATACTTCACGTAGCTTCTTCTTCAGCTGCTTGTATTCAAGGTAATGTCTGTCACAGAAGCAAAAGACCGTTAAAAAGAGGATTAAAATCCTAAATTTGACCCTTTCTATCGCATAATGCCCAACAAAGACTAGCGCTTGTGATGCTCAGCTCACCCTTTCCACTCCGGTTTCTGCGCCGCTGCCAGCTTCTTAGCAAACTGAACCATTGTCTTCAAGTCGTCCTACTTTGAATCCGCGAGTGGCGTAAAGCGCTGGTAACGATCGGTCAGGAAAACAGTGCACCAATCAGATGGCATTTCGTTATGATGACACGGAAGAATATTTTATGTGACGGAAAAAAGTCGAATCTTGATAGGTCGTATGTATACCATACGACATCATTTGAAGTTATTTTTTTTAAGCAGTCAGATCCTCTTCGCTAAATGTTGCCCAATGGTCAGATGCTTATACCCCCTAATGCTACCTTTTACAATCAAGACTCGCAAAGCGTGCTATGAAAAGGAGCAACGTGCAAGTAGCTATACTACAAATACACACATACTTAAAGCTAGATCAACTTTATGTGTTTTCAATTCGCGAGTAAATTTGGTCGAGTCTCTGCAATTATGCAGTTTTTATTTACGGAACTCGGCCTTTTGACAACACAAGTAGTGGTTTTATTCCTTAGCACAAAAATTCTGCACGCTAAATTCTCCATAATGGCAAGCAACTTTACGTTAAATCCTCATATAGTTGAACGAATTACCAATGACAATTCCGGACGCTAAATTTATGGAGTTGTTGAGAGGAAGCAAAAGTGCATAAAAGTAATTTAAAGCTGGCCTCAGATTTAATTCTGCGTATCTGCCTAACCTACAATCCCAATACTGCTCTTTGAGAACTTCCTTTACGAAGAGCCTTAGCGGTTGGCGGGAAGCTCTGT